CTTACAACATAGAATAAGAGTGTGTGAGGTGTGTTCACAAGAGGAGGCTCTTACTTTTTGATGAATCAATTCATCTAACAGCCTCTGGTGCAGAATTGCAGTAAGGAGTGTGCAAGCACACCAGTCTCGTGAAAGTCAGACACACAACCGCGCACGCTACTCCCAGCACCATCCCCACACTGCCCTTCTTTCTCTCTAACCTCACCGCTCTCTTGATCACTTGCCAGAAGCTTGGCAGTAATCCACCGCACGCCACCACCATCACGTGGTCCAGTCCACTGTAATCTATCCCTGCTAATATGGAACCTATGGCTGATACGGGTCCCACAAACCCGATCAAAGCTGCTGCTGCAAGAGCTGCGTGCCAACTGTCTGTAGCCCCAAAGACACAGCTTGCAACCGCTGTCCCTCTTGGGAGCCCGTGTAAGGAAACCGGGAGTACCATGTGTCTGCCAAGTCCATAAGCCTTTGGAGCAGCGACGCCTAGAGCAAGCCCCTCAGCTAAAGCGTGGAACCCAACCGCTCCACACGCTAATAATGATTGAAGTGTTATCACACTGGTTGGAAAATTGGTTACCGGATTTATTAAACTGCCAGCCCTAGACTTTTTCTGACAAGTTACATTCAGGATGGTCGAGCTCAGGAAATGGCCCAGTCCGGCCCCAATTGCAAGTAGACTTATCAGAGGGATGAATCCCATTTTTGCAGATAGCAGCAGTTGAAGTGGACGCCAGACACTGAGGATAAAGGCAATGCCTGAGGCTATTCCCATGAGAAGGGCGTGCTGGAGACGGAAAGTGAGTGCCGATCCAACCAGAAATACACCCCCAAGCAATGGACCCAGACCAAAGAGGAGTGAAACAAAGAAGCCTGAAGCATCCTCTGAGCTGCAGATTGGAGAAATAGAAGCCTTAGTTGAATTTACAAACCAATCAAACACAACAGCTTATAACTTTTACTAGAATTCCATTGTTTTACTTGTAATCATGTGTGAAATTCTCGAAAAGTGTGCTCATAGCTTCCATGGATGCTACTGATATTGTGGCTGCAGAAGCCACTTGTGACGGAGACGCTTCCTGTTGTGGATGAAAAAAGAAGAGAATTTAAGTCAGTTACTTAGTGAAATCCGCATCTTCCTCAAATACGAACATCAACATTAATTACATGAATCACCACATGCAGTTCACCTTGAATGCATCAGGAAGCACTTCAGCAATAACCATCCAAATCATACATCCAGCAGCAAATCCAGTGCAAAAGGGTAAAAACTTGCTAAACGCATCAGCGCATAAGAAAGCTGGCACTGCGACAATAGGCTGGGAAAAAATACAGAGAAAAAAAAAATAAGTAACCTGATATGCAAACAGAGACATCAGATCAGAGAACATCAATATGATTACCTGAGGTAAGGATGTTATTATGCTCCAGAGCATGGCATTTTGTGGAGAGACACCCCTTGATGCTAGCACCATGCTCACAGCCAACCCTTCTGGAATATTATGAACAGCTATGGCCAAAGTGACCAGAAGCCCTTGACTAAAACCCTTTGAACCAGCAAACGATACACCAACCCCTGATCCCTCCCCGAAAGAATGAAGTGTCATAATTCCTATGACGAGAACAACTTTTGTTGCATCTGCACCTTTGATATCCAGCATGCTAACTTCACCATATTGTTCAAGAAACTGTCCAAAATACAGGGTTTAATTGATAAAGTGAGTTTTCAACTCCAAGATTTCATGTAAGTATGTAACTTGGCACACAGCTAGTGTAAGAGGAAACTAAAGGACAAGATTTTCTCGGCATGCTGACTCTAAAGTTTATTATATACTACAACTTTGCTG